TGGCACACAGGGCACGTGCCACCGCACCCCCCAAATATTTTCGCCAAAGCATGGAGAGAGAAAAATGGCCATCAAAAGGTGGCGCTCTTCCCAAAATCAAAGTGGTGCTCCCCCCCCCCCCCACCCTCACACCGCTCGAAAAACATTTCTGGCTACGCGCCTGCACACAACAAACAGTGACACCTGCCATAACAAATGAGAACTAAAAAACTGCAAAATTTGGCACGCATGTCGCACACTTCTCTTGCAAGCCACCCTAAAACTATTCAATGCAGGAAACTTAACGTGCTTACTCGGACACTGCTGCCATTGATGCCTTGGCTAAGAGAAAAGTTTAAACTCGTCACAGTAACGTAAGTGGTTATTGTGAAGGCTTTAGGACTACACCGAAAGCTACCTGACACTTTTTCTTTTTATTTTTCATGTGTCCGTGCATGCTAGCAGACAGATTGTTGCAATTTTTGCAAGAGGGAACACGCAAGCAATGATTCGTAGGTATGAAACAACGCACGATTAGGCTAAGTGTTTCACACACGTGTCTAGTTTATAAACAACTCGGAGGCCAGTCTCCTAGTCCGTGCAAGTGCATGAGATTCATGCGTCACAGTACCACGAGATGTGCGAACACTTGCGAGGCACTGTGCACGCCCACCTAGTGGCTCGCTCGTTTCCTCAGTAAATAGGTTATTAGGAGTGTTCTCTGTGGGGATAATTAAACAACAGAATTAACGTCAGCGAAATGTTGGTGGACCAAGTCGTAAAAACACGTTCAGTTTTGAATACAAAAAAGCTAATTGTAAAGAACACCACGCGGTCGAAATTTATGAAACCCACCTTTACCTCATTCCTCACAATCTTGCGTAGTCACTGTATTTAATATAGGGATGGAGTCCTTAAAAAGCCATTTTTGGGGTGTGCGAGAACAGCATTGTCTTTTTCGTACGCACGGCGGCGTACGTGAGAGGCGTAGTGACAGGTGGTTGCTTATGCATCGGTGGCAGGGCCTCAGCGACTTGGGTTCGAATGGCGTGTTGGAGGTCCGGTGCGAAAGCTTGCGCGGGCTCGTGTCAGTGGCAGCAGTGACAGCTGGCGCGCTACCTTACTTCGCGGAGAATCTTTGGGTAACATACAAGACGTTGACCTCTTGCGTCCTCTGGAGTTTCCGAACACCCACCTCACCTCCAGCTCAATGCTATGACGCCACCTGTGGCCACACTGCCCGCGCCAGACTCATTCCAGCCCTCTGTTGCCTCTGAGCTATCGCCGACCCAAAGAGGTGAACTCTTGTCCCTTCGTAGAGAGTTCCGTTCTGCGTGCGATTGCGCTCAACCATCTTTGAATCGCACAGCAAACATCACGCACCACATTGACACCGGTACTCGTGCTCCCTTTTTCAACGCAAAGGCGCCGTATTATCAACGAACAAGTCGACGATATGCTCAAGCGTGGTGTCATCCAGCCATCGGAGAGCCCTTGGTCGTTTTATCGGCCTGCGCTCATACTTTCGTCGATTCGTGCGGAACTTCTCTTCCATCATTGCGCCTTTTACCAACCTGCTGACAACTTCCAAAGGCATTTCTGCTTGGACAAAAGAGTGCGACGAATCCTTCACTGTGCTTCGGCGGTTATTATTATCACCTCCAATAATACGTCATATGGACCCCGATGCGCCTACGGAGGTCCACACCAAAGCCAGTGGTGTCTGTCTTGGTGCTGTATTGGCTCAACGAAAACCAGGAAACCAAGAATACGTGGTCGCCTACGCAAGTCGAACCCTCAAGAAAGCCGAGTGTAATTATTTCATCACGGAGAAAGAGTGCCTCGCAATTGTCTGGGCTTTGACGAAGTTCCCCCGTACCTTCATGGCCGCCCTTTCGAAGTCGTTACGGACCACCACGCTCTATGCTGGCTATCATCGCTCGAAGACCCATCGGGCCGCCTTGGTCGTTGGGCGCTTCGCCTACAGAAATACGACATTCGTGTTGTATACCAATCCGGCCACAAGCACTTTTCGAGACGACCTCCTCTATTGGTGGAATTACACGTCTGAAGGTCGGAGGTGGGTGTTAGTGATACCCAACCACATGCGCTCGGAGATCTGTACAGTTTTCAACAACGACCCGCAAAGCGCTTAGGCCGGTGCTCTCAAAACGTACAGCCGTCTACGTCTGCGGTACCACTGGCACGGCATGTATAGATTTGTTCGCAAGTACGTACGTGCTTGTACTGCATTCCAGCGACGTAAAGCACCACCTCAATGCCCTGCCAGTACACTCCAGCCTCTGCCTTGTCCAGCGCGTCCATTTGACCGCGTCGGTATCGACTTATACGGACCACTTCCGACGTCGTCTTCTGGAAATAGGTGGATAATTGTCGGCGTGGACCACCTCACGCGTTTCGCGGACACGGCAGCACTACCCGCAGCAACCGCGAGGGAAGTTGCGTTTTTCATCTTGCGCAAATTCCTGCTTCGCCATGGTGCTGCCCGCGAACTTTTGAGCGACTGGGGGCATGTTTTCTTGTCTGACGCCATTCAAGCCTTGCTCGCTCAGTACAACATGGTTCATCGTATGACGACAGCATATCACCCGCAGACGAATGGCCTCACATAACAATTTATTCGCACTCTCGGTGATATGTTGACGATGCACAAAGCTTCAGACCAGACCAATAGGGACGCTGTCCTTCCACTCGTCACGTATGCGTATACCACCGCTACGCACGCGACAACAGGGTTTTCCCCTTTCTGTTGTTGGGACGCGAACCATCGTGCACGCTGGACACTATCCTGCTATACACGCCCGCAATTTCTGCCATTTCTGGTGTTGCCAGTTACGCAGAAGATTGCAGACGATTGGCCCGTTCACTGACAACCGAGGACCAAGGACACCAGAAGCTATGGTATGACACCGACCGACATCTCTCTACTTTCGCGACTGGTGCTCTCGTTTGGCTCTGGATTCCACCGAGCACTCCTGACCTTTCCTCGAATTTGCTGGCACGAAACCACGGGCCCTACCGCATTCTCGCCCGTACGCCACCAGTCAATTATGAGATTGAGCCTTTGACCAGTCTCATGACTTACGCCGTTGTGGCCGAGAAATTGTGCATGTGAGTCGCGTGAAGCCGTATTACGACCCCGCTATAGTGACTACGCCTTAAGTCGCCAGGTTGGCTGCGCTATTCACCGGGGGCCGATGTAGGGAACTATGCGAACGACGACGAAGCAGCAAGAAACGGCAAGCCACAGCGTTGGTGCACACGCGCGACCCGAGCTTGCGCTTGTTTCGTATTTTCGGCCTGTTGACGTTCCTCGCTCTTCTGGCGTTCCATGGCCTTCCAGTAGGTCTATACGCAAATAAACTACGTGGCATCTCTAACACTCGAACGCATACTATCATCTAACGCGCATGTCACGAATGCTCAAATGAGTGTTCCATGAGTGAAATTAAAGAATTGAATCTTCGCGGCGTTCCAAGCCTTTTTGCAGGGTTTGCTGACCAATTCAAATTTACATGAAAATCTTCGCAAAGCAAATACAGGACATTATTCAGAAATTAGTTGGATGTTATGAAGCATGGGAACACAAGATCGACCGATTTCTATGTACTTTCGCGTCGCTCGTGGCATTCCGGTGTGCTCTTAGCTTTCCGGTGATGTTTTATTGTGATAGCAATTATATGGACATTCTCGACTGGATTTCGCCACCCATGTTGGTGTTGATGTGTCTGTCGGCATCGATGTCATGCACAGTATATGTATACGTACCTATTTATATTAAAACGCAACAAAGGAAAAATCCAGAAGAAAGAGTCTGGCGTGTGCACTCGAACTTGGGACCTCGGCGTCGGGATTGCGAGGTGTTAACCCTTGAGCCACTGAAGGGTACCTCCGTCACCGTTGAAATGGCAACCTAATCATATCTACCACTGTTGGTGGGCATCTCGGGGGTGGGGGTGTACTAATTGTGTTTTCAGCATTATCAGAAATAAGTCGCAATGGGCATGTGGCGGCTCTAATCTCTCACGCGTACTTTGGCCCGCGGAGAAGAGGGGATTGGACGATCTCTCACGAACCGTTATCTCCCGGTTGGGAGGATATTGGCTGGCGTTGGGCTTGCACTGGAATGATTGATGTTGTAGTTACGAGGTACGCAAAGGTCACTGCAATCGTTGCACAGCCTCCATTTGTGAAAAACGCGCGCTTTTCAGACACAGCGAAGTAACAACTGAGGCGCTTATTCACGTTCATCTGTACCTGTTAGTACGTTTCGTGCGTCATTTCTGCGTGCGAAACGTGGAACACGCTTCGATCTGCTTGCCTTTCTGCGCGGTACCATCCAAGTTGTTGCTATCACGTTCGTTCCTTTGCCTTTCGGGCAAAGCTGCGAACTTTTTGTTATAATTCCATTTATACAATTAGATATTCTTCATCTTGCATCAAACGACGGCGTCAGTTCTCAGAGTAGAAAAGGAAACATAGTTATACTGATATTCATAGGCTTCAAATTATTTCAAGCAGTAACTTTAAACACATAGTAGTGAAAAAAATTGAAGTGAAGCCGTTCCAGTCTTCTCATTGCAAAGCCACGGGTGCTTGCTCTCCCCATCGTATTGCGCGCTGTACGTAATATTATGGTGTTTAAAAATTATTAACAACGAGTCAAGTAAAATATTCAAGGTTGATTCGTACATTTGAAGGTTGGGCAGTGAGCGGGGGCATTGTCATCTAATGTGAAGGTGGTGAGAGCCGAAGGAAAAAAAGTTAAAAATGTAAATGACACAGATGAAAAAACTCAACCAGGATGGCTACGGCATTGTAGTAGACAAAGGGCAAAGTAGCAATGAACTCGTCCTGAGCACGTGCTCTAATATTGACAAAGCTTTCTCTTCGATAAATCTTTAACGAGTGCTTTGTGAGTTGTTCCGTTAACTTCCAAGTGAACTTCAGCTTTCTGACGTCAACACTGTATTGCAGCGGATATAAAGAGTTTCGATAACAGGGTTTAGAACTTTGTAAGATACAAAATTTCCGGAACGATTATTGTGCCGCGGCTATAATGGCTCCCTACATTGTTCACCCATGGTTAATCATTTCAATTGCCGCAGTCGTGCCTCTTCGCGTCTCAGCTGAACAACCGGTAAGCTTAATGAACCTGATATATGTTGGAGATGTTATTTATATTGAGTATGCTTAATGGGATAGCTAACAAACGTGCGCATTTGAAGGAGCAGTCACACAAACTTTATGCGTGTCGCGTTTTTTGCATCAACGTGTAGTTATTAATCACCTAGTAAAGATTCGGTAGTGTCAATGCAACAGAGAGACGAGATGATAATTGTAATACAAATTAGTACTACCAGCATCAAACCCAATTCAAGAGGCATCCAAAGCCCGCAAATTTCTAGCGCTGCCGAGTGGCAACGTCCCGCGGTCACGCCGCATTTCTTCACGTACTCACACAAATTGGGGACGTGAATTTTGGTTGATATTTGGTGAGATAGGCTTCGCCATCCCCGTCATTACCGCCGCCGTCGTCAGCATCCACAAAAAACGATGTAGACACTGAGGAATACACAATCGCGGTGGTTCGCGGCACGACGAATCAATTTCGGTGTGATCCTCTAGTGAGCAGTGATTCTAAAATCGATGCCGGATCGAACAACAGCAAGGCAGCTGCAGACGAACGCTTGGGCCACGCAGGCTAGTAAGGCATATGAACACTGCGTGCGTGTTACTTATTGGCGATGATCGTAGGTTAAAATAATCAGATTCGCCCTCACAACTTCCTGACAAATCCCCCGACGAGGCACAACACGGAAGAAGAAGAATTCACACGAAGGCGTTGCACGATGTAAGCTAAGAAAAGCAAGTGAAGCCATTGCAAGCCAGCCAGGCTTCATAGAATTGCTGCTCGATCGTTGTCACTCAGCCTCAGACGCGGCCTAGGAGCTCGTTTAACCCGTCAAATACTACCGATAACTCATATGCCCCTGAGCACGCCGTTTAGCCTTTGGATGCTCTTGGCGCTCGAAGTAAAATAACGTAACGCCATTCAGTCATGTTCCGCTAAAAAAAATTGCCAGGTCTCACGTACCGTGGGAATTGATCATATGCGAAGCACGAATGACAAATGTCAGCACAGCGTTACGAGGTGGATTAGCACAATGTTACGAGTTGGAAGTAAATGAGGCCGTACATGACTTCTGTGTCATGATTATTGTGTTTGGATATGTCGTTTACCTTGGTCATCTATTCATGTCACGTGATACCAAATTTAGTATATGTGAAGCTGGTGAAATGGCCGTGAGCACGCTATGAGCGGGGTATGTTGTCATGTTCTTACGTCACACGCGCGTCAGGATTATCATGTTTTTACCAGTCATATATCTCGTCATTTATTGATGTCACGTAACACAAAATTTCGTATATGTGGAGCTAGCAAGACGGCCGCGAGCACATAATGAAGGGCCCATACACTGCAATGTATCGTTGACACGCGCGCACGTTGGGCACAGTGACGCTATGTTAGCAAAACGTGAGCATGCACTGTATAGGGTGACGCCAGTCGCGACCAGCGTCCGTCGGCGCAGCTCGACGGTAACCGGCGCGAAATGCGACATGCTGCATTTTGAGCTTAGGCGTTATCCAGACAACACTACGTCTCCCTCTTTTCGTGACGGAGGGACGCCGGACGCGCTCAAAACACGCATGCGTCAAAGCAACGCAGCGCGGCGGGTACATCTGATTATAAGGCAGGACCGGCGCCTGGCGTGGCAACGCTGGCGTGAAAGGACGAAATGTACGCCGGCGAGTGCGCGCACCGCGTCGAGTCTAAATGTATTGGCGCCTTCACTGTGGCATGTAGTCATGTTCCCACATGACACACATCTCATGATCATGTTCGCTCAAGTCCATATCTTCGTCCTTCATGGCATCACGTGATACCAACTTTGGCATATGTGAAGCTAGCGAAACGACCTAGGTTGGCCAGTGAATTGTTTTTCGGATAAATCACTTTTAGAAGTTTAGCGGGTCGCCGTAGAGCTGAATTATTTCTTTGTTTTGCAGAAAACAAGTGCTCCACAGAAGAGGACAGGCCCATGGAAGGTAAGACATGAAAACGAACTGGCCCAATTATGCCTAATAACGTGAAAAAATTGTGCCAATGTTACTAAAGTGGTGGACACTGCCGAGGAACAGGTCACCAAGTTCGTACTGAATGCCACAACGGTAGGCTTCCAATTGGAGCGTGTTTTAAGGCACCTATTTGTAGTGACACCTGAGCATTCAACTGTATCTGAAATACACCAAGTTTGGCAGGAAGGTGTTAGGTGCAATGCGATTTCTCTATGAAAGTCAAGAAATGCAGATGCAAAAGCTGTGGGCGTATTCACCACAAGCGCACATCGAATTCTACATCCAAAGTTGTCAAATTTCATTGCATATGGCTGCTTCGAGGTGAAACAAGTATGACCTACATTTTTGGGTTTATGTGCTCCTTCTACTATTTATCCTATGAACCCTAATGGCACTATGTTTGTGTTCTAAAGGCTGAATACGTCTTAGATAATGTGTAGGTCATTAAATATGCAGTGCCGTGTTGTGGCAAAAACCAGAACTTCGAAAAATCAAAAAGCAATGCGAAAGTGTCCACGCTGTTACTGCACACATTTGGTTCAACTAAGGCTTCTTTGCGAAGAAGTGAGTAACCAGTAGTAAGCGGTGGTTTCCCATGAATTACCAGTGAGAAGACATATGAAGCTATACTTAAAAGCTTGGCATGATCTTTTCCCATCTGCATAAATTATTATCAGCACCGAACTGCTTCGTGTAAGCGTAAACTCCGTGTTGCATGCGTTGCAGTCAAGCACTCTCACTTTAATGTTCATATATTTTGCTTATAAAACTGCTACCATTCATAGCATAACAGTGAAAATATATGAGAGTTGTCTGTAAATTTAGAGGATAACTACACGAAATAGAGAATTGCGGCCAGTATTTGTCAACTTGTGTATGGTAATAAAGCCAGACGGCATGCTTTGCGAGTACACAGGATCCACTAAAATGATGAGGTGCGCTTGCGCACTCGAGCCACCTGGCTTTTCGAACCCACCCAGGCTGGCAGGTGCCATGTTTAGGATGCGCCCAGGTTATAGGCTTCGTTTCAACCAATCTGCTCAAATGGAAGTCTGTGTGTCAAAGACAATCTAGCAAGAATAAAGAAGACAACAGCAAAACGCCTAGAGTGCTTCTACGCTTTTATGAACAATTGCTTTCTTTGCGTTTCATTCTGCAACAGTAGGATGTATTGCTTAGCGCACCGCTTCTTTTTCCTGCTTGCACCACTTTCCTATAAACTACTTCGCGCACAAATATAGCATTTCATGGCAAGGTTATAATTGAAATGAAAACGATTACTTTACCATTCCTAACTAGTAGATATATTCACTCACATTTTTTTATTTACAAGAGCGTTTTGGCCACTGGAAATACCCTGTTGCGTAAGTTTTCATACGTGAAAACGCCAGTTTAAAATGGCATAAGGGTGTTTGTTTTAGACATGACGAACCCCTTTTAAGGGTGTAAAGTTAATTACGGATTAAGAAAAGTCACGTCACCAAAAGAGAATGCAGAGTTTTTAGGATTGAGTATATCTCTTAGAAAATGCTGATTTGTCGGATTTTATTTGAGTGAGTGCATTTTAGCAGGCTCTAACGGTCATCAAAGCTGTCAAATTTTGAGGTGACAACTTGCCTAAAGATAAAACCAACCATTTAGTCGATATTGTATGCGTAGACGCCTTTTCGCCATGCATTGATGATATCGCTAAGAAATACATTTCTTGTTGTCTTGTCGTTTTCTTCAGTTCATGAATACTGGTGTCATTTACCTAAACTTGACTACGATGAACACATCTGGAATATTGTGCAAAGCAGCAATGAGAACAGAGTTGAATGCTACTGCCAGAACCTTTTCTCAGGACATAGGAATCAGATACCATGATGCCTGGTGAGTCAACACAGCTACATTCATGCTAATCCTGATTTCTTACGAAGTATTTCAATACACTTCAGTGCTATACTTATCCAGTGCAAACATTCAAGAAAAACAGAAGTCTTATAATGTTCACCGTTTCTATTTGGATAAGCATTGCACTTTTCCAGTAGAGAAGTCTCTGGTTGATAGTATGTGCACTGGCATCCATAAATAAAATGCAAGACTCTGACCAGAATTTTGATTGTAACATTGTAAAAAATACACGAAAATAAAGCTGAAGGACCCAAAGCGTGTCGTATCAGCGCCATGAACTTTGCCCGAACAATCCTGTCGCTATTCCCACCGGCACTTGTGAAGCCTACTCTTGTGTTTGGCCCTACAATCAATGAGGTCACGTAATTTCGCTTTCTAGCAGAATAATTTCGTCAAAACTGCTGAGTCTTCTCAGTAACACGGGATTCTCCAGCCTGCAATACGTATTATGGCAATGTGCTACAGGGAAAGAACACTTGAGAAGAACGTGGTATGTCGACACGCAAAGTTTGACTTGGAAAACAATGCTCTCCTATAATTCCAAGATCACCCACATGATCGCAAAACAAACTAAGAAGAGATCTAAACTGTACATACTCTCAAAATGAGAGAAGAACAAACATGAAAGAAACACCATTTTCACGTTTTCTTGAAGAAGCAACCTCAGAATCAGATAACAAATGGACATTTGACTAACACAAGCAATCTTACTTTCTGTGATACTGCAGGTGAAGGCATCCGGCGTATATTGTCGATTAGATGTTGTCATACAGTGAGCTTTCCCTCTGACCCTAATTGTTATTAGACTTTAGTGTCCCTTTAAGGATGAATTATACTTGTTTTGTGTATAAGAGGTACCAGTAGCACCTGGTCCATTTTTCATATTAAGTATGAGTTCTCCTTAGTGTTGGTCATCATTAAAGTATAAACCAACACAACCACGTGACAGTTATTTTGTAAAATTGGTTCGCCTATGCCTATAGAAACAAGTGAAACCAGTACTTTAAGATTACTGAGTTTCATATTACTGATATTGTTTCAGTTACTCTCACGCTTAGATATGTTAATTTTGTTTCTGATATCGAATTTCATTCAATAAATAAGCTCTCACTATCTTTATATTACCCAGCTTCTTTGATGTTATGAAGAACAGGAGAGAGCGCAAGCGGTACATGATTAAGGCGGAAGTAATTATCGCGGAAGAGAGGATGGAGAAAGAACGACCGACGTATACATTCGGTTGTTAGTTTTGTGCTCTCCTCTGTTCTTTCTCTGCCCTGTGCCCGGTGCTCTTTGTTTCAGCGCTAAAGGTATTGTTGTGAGACATTTCATTGGAAACGTAGTAATAATTTCCAGTTGCAGTATCGCCAATCTGACAGAAACGCAGATTTCGTGCATAGCCGCAACCACAAAGAATTCGTCCACTTTCTCGTCCTCTGTCATTGCAACAAGTGCTCGCGTGAAACGTCGCTAACAGCACGAGAATTTTACGAAGAAGCAAAGACAAAGTGACACGGGAATCGGCAAAGGCTATGTATAGTAAGTATCTTGGTGAACATTGTCAGTGTCCCTCCTTTGTATGAATTTGATAATTAGTTTTTTTATATGATAGGTTGCGATGATAGTTGTTGGAGCTTTTTGTGTGCTTGCATGCATGCCTGATGGTTTCAGAGCTACGGTTTAATAAAGTAAGTTGTGAGTGTGCGCTTTTCCATGTATTTTTTTTTGTTTTCTTTTAAGTTTACGCCTACGATGTTTTACAGAGCTATACACTAACTAGTCCAACAGCATACGTTACTGGCCTTCCTGTTCTTCCCTACAAAAGCCCCCGGGAGTGAACAGCAGCCATCGAGGCGACTAAGGCCTGGGTAGAAATAAAGGCTGATAATGAACCTTGAGCCGGCTAACATGCACCGTTTCACGACTTGGTTCAGGGACAGGATCGAGACGCGTAAGACCTCGGTTTTCCCACTGCACGGTATACGAGACACGGTAAGCGCATCATTGTAGTTTTCATCTTTGTCATCAACATGGCTAGCGTAACTGCGCCTTTACGCATTGGTACGCTGTATGTACGTGGTCTAGGAACGCGTCGCAAACAGTACCAGTTGAAACGCTTGATGCAAGAAAAAGACCTTGACTTGCTCGCGGTCCAGGAGACTAAAGTTAGTACTGAGGACGCGACCGATAGCTTGGTAGCAGGATTTTTATTGCGGTACAATGCGTGTGTGAGCTATGCAGCGGGACCATCAGCCGGATGTATTATTTTTGTCAAGAACTCTCTTGGTATTGTAGTGGAAGAGGTCAAAAGTTGCCTATATGGGCGTTTTATTTTGTGTGACTTTTGTTACGGGAACACTAAATTCAGAGTTATCTGTGTATACGCACCTACAAATTCGAGAGACAGATGTTTGTTTTTTCGGGAAATGCAAGCGTACTTAGAATGTCAGAAATGCGTGATTCTGTTGGGTGACTTCAATTGTGTTTTGACCCAAGAAGATTGCACGTATACTGCTAAATTAGGTGATGAAAGCGTTGGTTTGCTTAGAGACAGCCTTAATAAGTACTTTTTACATGACGTAGCTCTGTTTGCGATGGGTGGTAGTCGCCAACACTTCACACATTTTCAAGGTTCGAGTCACGCACGACTAGATCGAGCATATGTTTGTTCTGAGATAGTACCTTTATGTCAGAACTATGACGTTTATGCTGTTTCCTTTAGTGATCATTGCTTAGTTTCGTTTGAGATAGGTAGAAAGTGCAAAAAGAAGGTTGTATGGGAAACATGGAAACTGAATACTAAGATAATTACGCACGAAAGGTTTGTAGATAAGACAAAGGAGGAAATCGAGAATTTTTTCAAAAACGCAGAAAAGAGTGCCGCGGAAAGATGGGAATTATTTAAGCAAAGGATAAAAATGAACGCAATAGAGTGTGGTTGCTACATGCAGTATCAAGCTCGGAAACAGGAACGTGAGCTACGGGCAGAGCTAAATGATTTGGTGAATATTGAAGCAGAAAACCCGGGCTCATTCACACATCAACTGCAGGTTGTCAAAAACAAAACTGAATATCTTGAAGAAGATAAATATAAAGGCGCATTTATACGAGCAAGAGCTGAGAGATTCCTCGTGGGTGAAGCCCCGACAAAGCGAGCCTTGTCAGATGAAAAGGCATATGCGCGAGCTCACGACCTACTAGAGATAGAATGGAATGGTAAAATATTGAAAGAACATAAAGATATTATGAAAGCTTTTGAAAATTATTATCAGGACTTGTTTGCTTATCGCGAACCAAAGGAGCCGGGTTTTGTAGATGAGTTCTTGATAGAAATGCCGACACTCAATGATGAGGACACAAATTATTTAGAAATGTCTATTAGTATAGGGGAAATTGAGAAGGCTATCGATGATCTTGGCATGGGCAAATCACCTGGTCCAGATGGCATTAATGCCGCCTTTTACAAGGCGTTCAAGGAGGATATGGCCGCCGCATTGCATGAGGTTTTTTCAGAGTCTTTAGATCGCGAAACTCTGCCTCCATCGTTTAATCGAGCACACTCCGTGCTGATTCCTAAAGGGAAAGAGCAACATGTTTTACGCAAAGTGACAGGATACAGGCCAATCACGCTAAAAAACGTAGATTATAAGGTTTTTATGAAAGTTCTGGCTAGGAGGTTGCAAGGAGTTATATACAAGTTGGTCGGGTCACATCAGACTTGCGGCATCAAGCGTAGGAGCATATTCACGAATATTTATGTTGCCAGGAGCATTTCGGAGTATTGTGACGAGGCGCTTCTAAAAGTAGCTATGTTGCAAATTGATCTAGCCAAGGCTTTCGACATGGTTTCACACAATATACTCTTCATGCTAGCTGAGTACGTTGGTCTTGGTGCGATCATATGTAAAGGTATTAGATTGGCATACAAAAGTTCAACCACCAATTTAATTGTAAATAGAGAACTCTCACAGCGCATACAAGTACTTTCCTCCGTGCGCCAGGGGTGTCCTCTAAGTCCTTTGCTCTTCCCTATATTTTTGGAACCATTGTGTCAGAAAGTGATTCACCATGCAGGGATTAATGGTTTCATGTTGCAGTCATGTGAAGTGCGTGTGTTGGCATACGCCGACGATATCGCTTTTTTTGCAGTTGATAGAGAGAGTGTCACTTCGTTATTAAAAATCACTCAAAGGTTTTGTGACACGAGTGCAAGTTTAATGAAGAAAGAGAAAAGCATTGGTTTATGGCATGGTAACTGGGACCTTGCGCCCAGTTCCTTTGGAAATATTCAGTGGCTCACGACGCCTAGTCGTTACCTAGGGGTACCATTGGACAGGTATCAAGACAGTGAAGCATTTTGGCTTGGAAAGGCTGAAGAACTGCGTGCGACCGCCGAAGGATGGGGCGGTCGTGGCTTATCAATTTTCTCTCGGTCAGCTGTATGCAATGTGTTTCTGGCTGCTAAAATATGTACCTTTTGCAAGTACTTAGTTGTAAGCGTAAAATCATTCACAAAGTTCACAGGATATTCGCCACGTTCATCTGGAGCTCTACGTGGTAGAGAACATCTAGAACGAACTTGTTTCGGCGAGTTAAGCAAGGAGGGCTGTCTCTGTGCCATCTGTTTCTTAACCAAGTATTATCACGTTTCCTGCTCATTAGAGACCAGAGAGACTCGTTTTTACGTTCTTTATTTCAAACAACGCTGTTACACCACATGCCTGACTTCTTTGTATCTTCAGACAGGCGAGAACGACACACCTTGTCACCGTTCTTGCGCGAAGTTGTGTTCTCGTATCGTTTCTTAAGGGCGAGGTTTTCGATAGATTACCTAGCTAATGTGAAAAGAAAAACCTTAAGAAAGACCTAATACAGAATGTTTTTCCTGTGCCCCTGTACCGTTCAAGGTATGAAAAATCATATGTTCATTACGTACTAAAGCGAGTGAAAAACATGTGTATACCACCAAATGTGAAAACCTTCTTTTTCAAACTTCATTACGGGAACCTTGCCAGTAAAAACGTGACTTGAAGAGAGAGGGATGTATGTACCATGGGGAAGCAGCTGTCTCCTGTGTAACAAACCTGAGACCATTGAACATGTGTTTATTGATTGTAAGAACGCTAGTTTCTTTTGGGACATTTTACAGAGGAATTTAAAGAAAGATTTACCTCTTACTTCATATGGAATTCGTTTTGCCTTGCGATAGTTCTGTGCAAAATTTGGATGTTATATTTTTACTTGGTCTTCATTCGGTTTGGCGTAGTATGCTATCGTACAGACACTGTGATGTGAGAGTTCTATCCGTTAATGAGTGTTTCGTGTAAGCTGTTATAAAAGTGCGAGATGTGTATAAGACTACCAACTGTTTTGAAGATGTAATATCTTTGTTTGACGCGTTATCACGCATGAAACACGTGTGATACTGATTGTCATATTAGCTTGACCTGTAGTCAAGAAGGCAATAAAGAAAAAAAATGCACCGTTTCACGACTGCAATGGCTCGGGTTGCGGGATAGCGTCCAAAGAAGTAGTTGAGAGAGGACGTGCGGTCATTAATTTGGTAGGGGCCGTCATAAGGGGGAACAAGCTTCGTTGAAAGTCCAGAACTGTGGTGGACGGACAACCAGGCGAGTGAACCCGTCACGAAATGTTTGCAGCAACGTCACTGTCATCTCGGAGCTTTTCACGACCATGGGCGTTGCTCATGAGTGTACGTGCAAGCTGCCTGCACTCCTCCCCGTATTCGGCCGCTTCAGACACCGTCGTGCACTCGAAAGTGTCGCGTCGGTTCAGAAGCAATGTATCCATAATGCAAGACAGTTCTCTCCCGTACTGCGAAAATAACGGTGAAAAGCCAGTGGTAGCTTGTATGGCTGCGTTGTAAGCGTATGTTACGGATGGCAAAACAGTGTCCCAGTTGTTATGTTCGGACATAATACATAGGCAACATGTCGCCGAGAGTGTGGTTGAACCTCTCCGACAAGCCGTTAGTTTGCAGATGGTGGGCTGTTGACTTGCGATAGACGATTCTGCATGCAGAGACGAGGTATTGTATTACTTAGGAAAGGAACACGCGTCCTCAGTCGCTAAGCAGCTCCCGTGCTGCTCAGCGCCGAAGAACGAAGGTCCGCAAAAGGAAGAATGCATGGACGTTGTGTGCTGTAGCGGCCAGAAGTGCAGCAGTGTCGGCGCAACGCGTCGGATGACCGACTCCTACAACGGCATATCGGTTGGTCACCGGAAGAGCCGCAGGCAAGCGGGCCATATACGTCTATGCCAACGCGATCCAAAGAACCAGCTGGACGGGGCAAACTTTGCGATTTGGCAGAAGGCCGCTGGCGAACTTTTCGTCGCTGGCGTGACATGCAGGCACGAATGCACTGACCGTGGAGGAATACATTCTAGGCCAGTAGAAGCCTTGCCGTAGTCAAGTATTCGTTTTGAGAACACTGGCATGAACGTTATGAGGAGCAGCAGGAAATTGTTCACACATTTTAAAACGCATGTGTCCGGGAATTACGAGTAGCAACTGGAGACCAACGGGTGAATAGTTTCGTCAATAAAGGAACACTGTTGGGCACGAAAATGGTAGCGGCTTGGCGACAAAGCGTACGAGAAAGTGAAAGGGTTGGATCCTCGAGTGAGTTGAGTAGAGCTGAAAAGGTGGGAGCCTTGCGCTGCTCGACATCCATTTTGGCTGCGTCGGTGGGCAACAGAGATGCTAAGGACATTGATGTGGAAACCACATCGAAAGGTATCGGCAATCGGGAAAGTGCATCAACGTCAGCGTGCTTCTTGTCTGATCTGTAGACAACGGAGTTGTCATGCTCCTGTAAGCGAAGCGCCCTTTCTTTGAGGCAGCCTGATGGTTTTTTTAACGAGGACAGCCAGAA